AAGCAGCAGTGATCACTTTAGAGCTAAAGAGAACCACCAGGCCTGCGCGTAATCACTCTTGTGAGTGATAGTGATCACTCTAGAAAGCTTCAGGATGAAGTGCCTACGCGTAATCACTTTCAAAAGTGAAAGTAATCACTCCAGTGAAGCCTGAACCAGAACACTCTGTGCGTGTTTACTCTTAGAAGTGAAAGTAACTACGCGCGCCCAAAATAACTACTATTATACACAAGAATGATCACTACAGAAAGGGGAAAGCCTGAGAAATGTTGCGCGTGATCACTCTTATTTGCAAGAGTGATCACTATGAGGTCGCATCAGACTTAGTATATATAGATTTTTAGAAATTAGGTACGAATCTTTTTCAGAACTTTAGATTCTTTGCCACTTTTGGAGCATTTTGTAGAGCTTAGGATCCTTGGGTGACAGCCAAGGCCAATCTTAGGGTTTGATTTATAATTTCTCTTCACTTTCCTTTAATTCTTGCATTAATGTCATTGAATTCCCTTTGCTTTCATCTTAAATTTGTAAGACCCATCCTTATGGAGGGCTAAACTTTCTTGTAATCCTTAGTGAGTTCATTGATTCTTGAATTCCTGGGTATGAATGTCAATATAATTCTCTTTTCTACATGAATTTATATTTCCCAACTCTTGAATTGAATTAATGTTTGAATGAGGGGGGACATTGCTTAATTAACCCTAATTCGTTTTAATGAAATTCTTAACTTGGTTTACTTAATCTTAAGTTAATTTCTAAGGTTGAGTAATCTTAGGAAAAAGAGTTGGAGCCCATGTAATTTGCTTATTTCGTATGGGACTTTAAGGTTAATTCTTGCTTTTTGAGTTACCCTAATTCAGAGAAAGAGGAAAAGTATTGAATCTTGAGAGGGATAGGGATAAAATTACATGAACAAACTAAGGATTGCACATTTCATTGATTGGACTCATTAATTTCATCACTTGCCTTTACATTAAAATTGGAATCATACAAAACTCCCTTGTTTTAATTGCTTTTATAGTAAATGTTTACAACATGTTCAATGTATGTTGCAAACCAAAGTCATCGGAGACAACTTAGGCTTGCATCTTAGATACTAAAATTTTTTCTGCATACTTTGATGAAGGTTGATGACAAATCTTTATGTAAAATGAAAATTTCGTTCATCAATAAGCATGAAACCAATCAAAGAAAGGAATGTTCTGCTCAACTTTTTTGAGAAATTTATAAAGAAAGTAGGGTAACCCACTTCTCTAGGAGAGTAACTTCATCCCACTTGATGATTCTGGGTAAAGTGACATTAGCCTTTGTCATATTTGTAATAAACAAAGTAGTCTCACCTTTTTGAGGTTTGATAAGGACTCTAAATGCATAAGAAGTCATGACCTTGTACTGAATCTTATAGATTAAAGCTGCGGGAATAGATCCCTCTTTCATGTCTAACCCATGAAAGCGACTATTAAGAAACATAGAGTCCATAATATTTCTATCCATAAGACTTACTGTCTTGTTTGGATAACAGTTAAAATAAACTGGTTCTTGGCCAAAACTAATTTCTACTGTACCTATAAGAGAATCTTCGAATCTATTGTGTCTAACATCTCTGAGACACATTGGGACAATGACATCTATACTAATGTCAATTAAAGGTTTAATTGCTACCTGGACACACACACACATATATACATATATATAACACATATATACATATATATATGTGTGTGTGTGTGTTTTGTAATAATAGTTAAGATATAATATTATATTCTCACCTTAATTTTGTTACAAAAAAAAAAGTTACTATGTTAAGATAACTATTATCCAATGAATAAATCCTATTAAAATAACATAAAAAAAAAAGTTTAAACAGAAAAATGAAAGATGCAAGTGAATAAGAGTCTATGATTAAGGATGAAAATAGGCTAGGTCGGCTTCAACTTAATATAAATAGGTATAGTCTGTTTAATAATTTTAAAGTATAAGTCTAACTTATTATTTATCATAGACTTTTTATTCAGCTTAACTTAGCCTTTTTAAAATATATTTTGGCCTATTAACCTTTTTAATGACATATTCCGTATTAAGATTTTCAAATAAAAAATTATTTTATTGCTTTCAATTGAAAAAGACATTTTGCATAAGAAGATTATGAATGAGATGAACGAGCGATACACATAATTGAGACAACACAAATATAAATCAACATTATGCGTATAAAGTAGATCAAATAACAGTAATACAAAAGACTCCAGTAAGCAGTGCTCTCTTTCAAAAGGTACGTAGTGAGAAGAACACTCTTTAACTCCAACAAAAAAAATTAGGATTTTTAATTTAACATATTATTCATTTTAAAATTTAATTTATTTAATATAATATAATATTATAATTTTTATATAAAAGTATTATTATATATTATTATAAATTTAATGTATTTTAAATAGTTCATTTTAATAGACTTCATAAGTTTTTTCTTAAGCTCAAATTTAGTCTATTTAATTAATTAAGTTTTTTAAAAAGTCAAAATTAAGTTTATTACTTAAATAAGTCAAGCTGAGTTATGCTTTAAAAAATTAGACTGTAAGTTTCAGACAGCCTGACTTATTTCTATTTTTATCCATGATTATGATATTTACCAGACCATATAGAGATATAATTTAGTTTTAGTGTACTGTGAATATAAATACATAAAATTAGGTTATTTTAATATCTAATACCATATAGAGATATAATTTAGTTTTAGTGTACTGTGAAAATAAATACATAAAATTAGATAATATCTAATAATATTTTATATAAATATAACATAACTCTTTTTTAATTTATATAGAGTGTTTGATATGTACAACTAATTTGAGAGTTAAAATAGTTTTTTTTATATATTTGTGTGTTAGTTACGTATACTATACCGTGTGTTAGGAATATTTTTATGGTATACAGGGCTGATTTGATAAAAAAAACATAATGTTGAGTATAAGTTTGATTTTAAAAAATATATACTGAAAAAATTATATGGTAAAAGTAATTGACAAAATAACTTTAGGTTCAATTATAAAAAATAACTACATTTTAACATAAGAGAAAATGGTACATGTTAGATATTTATATATTTTATCAATTTAATAAGTGGTCTATGTAACTCATAGACCGGTTAAATGAATTATGACATGGTGGTTAATTACAAAGGATAGAGTTAATAGGAATACAATTGTAAATGCAATTGTAAAGAAATTATTCCTTCTCCTTTTACAGTTTCACCATAATTAGAAAAGACAACTTTCTTTCAACCACAAAAGGAAAAAAAGAGTTGGAAAAAAATCTTAAAAGATAAAGAACATATAAAAAAGGAGATCACATCAAGGCTAATAGATTTAAGTTAGTGCTTTTCAATTCTTTTATTGTGTGAAAATCATAATAAGAGTGAGAACCATCAAATTCTAAATCAAAGGGTAATAGTAACTTCAAAATAATAAATAATCAAATATATAAATTACATTAGAGAAAACTAACCATTAGTATTAAAACTCTAGGTTATGAATTTGGTGATTCTCTATAAAAGATTTTTCATAAAGTTTTATTTTTCCGTAAATTGCATGAATATATAAAAAGAAGTATGAGAATTAGGGTTAGCCATAATTATGATTATAGGGTTGATAGTCGTTATCTCATAATTAGATTATGATTTGGGATTCAATTAACTATTTCAGACACTATAAATGTTAGGTTTATGAATCTATAAAAAAAATAATAAAATAAAAATATTATTATTTGATGTGTTTTTGTTATATACTCTTACTCACTTTCTAATATTGGATATGTTTTATTTTTCTTTTAAAAAAAGTTTTTAATTTTTTTTTAAATATAGTATAAATTTAAAAAAAATTAAAAACTCTTTTAAAATGGAAAACAAACATAACTCTATTTTTCTTTTTTGTTTCTGAATGTAGAGATTCAAAAGACAAGAAAGAGAAGGGAGGGAGTTTGGCAATGAAATAATGAAAGTAATTAAATGGCATGAAGTCCCCATTTGAGATCCACCATAACCCAAAGCTGCATTCTCTCCATCATTTTGGAACCAAACAATTGCAAATCCAACAAGAGCAACACACTGAGGAGCTTCATTTTAATTTCTAGAGACAGAAAAGCCGTAATAGTAGCTGAAGCAATCACCCACTTGGTCATTACCACTGTGGGAGAGGAGTCCATTTTGTCAAAAGAGAGGAACAAAACAAGAAATGGTCGTAGACTCCACTATTCGTCATATTTGGTTTGGTATTGTTAAAGCACGTGACTTGAGAGGCATGATAATATTATTGAAGACGATCTTTATTAGGATATTGTTACTTCTTATTTTGAACAATTAGCAATGATTTTTCGGTAGATATTCCGGAATCTATTTCATGTAGCTTGATAAGGAAATTTTGAGGCATGGATACAAGATCCTTTACATGTAAAAACTATGTAAAAGAAAGGCTCATCAGACTCCGAGAACAGTAGTTGAAGATTATGTCACCGCAGTAGAGGTTAAATCACAAAATGGTTTGGTGAGAAAGGCATTGAGGCAAGGGGAGGTGTCGGTAACAATGTCACGACATTGGTGACTACGGGGCAACAAAAGGTTACAAGTGAAGTATGGAGTCATGATAAGGTCTTTCAAATTGTTTTTATACAGAGACTAAAAGTGAATTTTGATAAAATAATAAGGACAAAAACACATTTAAGTTTAATTTTATGAATCATGTTAGCGATTTAGCCATGCTAGTGATTAACGAGACTAACTGTCAACGAGAATTAATTTTAAACATTTTACATTAACTTGAAAGATAATAAAAAAATTATAGAAATTAAAAGTAAATTTTGATAGTTTTAAGTTGAGGAAATATATATATTTAACCCAAAATTCATCATATATTAATTTTTTTTTCTGTCCCCTTAAACACGCTTGAAGAAGCGGTTAAAAAAAAAACAAAAAATATCTAAGGATGCCATGTTGAGGTGGTTGACGAAAGAGCTAAGCTAAGCTTACTGTACACTAAGCAGTTGGGAAACATGTGGTAACTTGGTTTCTTCTCTGGAATCCCATTCATTCCCATTCCAAAGGGGGAGTCATGGCAACGTTGTTGAGAAAGCTGTGCGAGACGGCGTCCTTGAAACGATCCTCTTCCAATTCAAGCACAAACACTTCATCATCGTCACCTCTGGGCGCGTTCGACCCTCTCCCTGCCGACATACTCGCACAAATCGTTCTTCTATTGGGCCCCAAACACGCGGCAATACTCTGCGTCGTTTGCAAGTCGTGGCGAAGCCTCGTCTCCAACAACGCCTTCTGGATCCAGTTCCTCCAAACCCACCACCCTCACGCCTCGCTCTTCGCCGAAACCACTTTGAGCTCCGGCTATCCTCTTCCGTATGTTTTCTTGTTCACCTCACCATTGTAAAATATTAACTATCCCTTCCTTCTTCGCTTCAACTTCACCCAACCTTAATGATTTAATAAAATTGCATTTGCATTGCATTGCAGCATCTTGGTTGCTCACAACTTGCCACGTGTTTCGTTCCAGCACGTTTATGCCCAACGCGAACGACTCCCCGCTTCCGTTATCATCGACGGTTAGTTTTTAGTTTAGTTTAGGTTTGCCGTTCGCTTCCTTTCAGAGTTGTTGTCGTTTTTTTTCATATGTTCTTCTGTAGGTGGCTCTGGCTACTGCAAGTTCGGTTGGAGCAAAGACGCTGCTCCTTCAGGGCGATTCGCGACCTTTCTGGTAAGGCCATCGTATCTGATTCGAGCAAAGGTTTGAAATTGATTTGTTTTGGGTCTTGATTGGGGATTTGATTTGCAGGAATTTGGTAACGTGGAGACGCCAATGTATTCTAGACTCCGGCACTTTTTTACTACTATCTATAGCAGGTGTGAGCTTTTCTTCTTGTTGGTGGAATGAAACATTTTACCATTGTTGATGATCATTTAAACCCAAGTGTATATGAATGATTATCAAATTGTGCAAAGTGGAATTGTTTTTTGTTGATTTCTTAATTCTGTGCTCAATAGTGGGAATATGTTGGTTGTATTCTCTGCAGGATGCAGGTGAAGCCAAGTTCTCAACCTGCTGTCGTCTCTATACCAATATGCCATTATGATGGTTGGTTAAATTTATGCTTTTACTGCAGTTGTTCAAATGAGGAGGGAAAAGAAAAGAGGATGCTGAGAAATTAAGCATAATGTATTGTTGTTTGATACTTCAACGTTCTGAAACTAGTTAAGCATAATATATAGGTTTTTATCTAGTGAGATACGACAGGAGTTAATCATGGTCATACAACCATGAATAGATGGTCAAGATTGAATTTCATCTTAACCATTTTGGTTGTGTGGTTAAAATTGTCTTCTTTCACACTCACACCCATTACCTATATGATTCTCTAGCTGTCCTAATAGTCTATTTCCTCATTGCAGATACTGAATCTGCCAAAGCATCAAGACAGCAGCTTAAAGAAGCAATCTATAGTGCCCTGTTTGACATGAATGTTCCTGCTGTTTGTGCTCTTAATCAGGTAAACTATTTTTTTTAATGGAACAAAAAATAATCAGTTCTAGTTACCATTTTTCATATGCTGAATAAGATTTATTGATTCCGAGTGTTAGACTTGGAGTATCCATTTTCTTCCCCTATTAACTTAGTTATTACAAGAGACATACGTGGTTTTAGGTACTTGCACCCATTTAATGAGTAAAGTTCAATAATTCACTTCCTTTTGTTTCAATATTTATAACCTCTTTCAAGTGCTTATATGGAATTTGGAGGATCATCTTTATATTTCCATCACTTTCAATTAAGAGAATATATGTATCCTTCCTCTTCATCTACTGTAGGAAAAAAAATGTACGTTACTTATCCATGTTTTCTACATTGTCAATTGAATTTATGATGGTCAACCAAACTCTTTATTCCCACATGTTCATGTAGGTAACATTTGGCATGTGCAAACTGTAAAAAACTGATTGTTCTATTCTAATCTCCTGGTTCCACCCTCTTGATTGGAATCAAATTGTACCACCTTTCCCATCATATCCTGTTCTGTTTTTTAAGATACACATAAACACATAATATAACTTGTATATTGTGTTTTGTTCCATTTTAACACAGCTACCAAATGCTAATATAAATTCTAGATGCTTGTCCTTTTCAAAGTGTTGATGGTATCATAATACTAATGTGGTCTAGATTCTAGAATACCCTCTCTTACAACTAGGATGTGATGTGTGAACTGTGATGTATTACATTTTTAATAGGGAATCTTTTAACTCATGCTTACATGTTCCTTCCCTTGAAATGTCGTCTTTAACACTGATTGTGAACATGATAAACAATTCTGGCATGGATTTGTGGTTGACAAGGTGTCTCTAATCAATTACAGTAGAGAATATAGCAAGGGGCCCTTATTTTAAAAGTGAGTTTGCTTTCTAAGATTCACAGGGAGATTTCCTTATGCTTTTTTTTTTCTGCTGACTGAAGATCTTAGATATGCTAGATAACTGATTTCTGGTAAATATATTTCATCAGAAATCTAGGTAAGTTGGTAGAAATATGAGTTATATTTAACCATTGAACTGGTGTTATCAAAGGTCTACCTCAGCAATGAGGCGAGAAGGTTTCTGAACTAATGCCTCAAATTTCCTTAGACACATTCTTGAGGCACAATGAAGTGTGAGGTGAGGGCCTAGTGATTATATAAGAAAGAAATGGAAACTTTTGATTCTTTATCTTTTGATTTTTATCATAAAATCTAGACAATAATACTCACAAGGCTAGCACTGGTGGTTCAATTGACTCTGTTCACTTGGTGAAAATGGATCAAGCTGATCTCTTTGTTGAAATTTACTTTCCTGACTGCTGGCAGCTGTTCTTTTATGTTTTTCCATGAATATAATTGTGTATCTCTTTTGCATAATCAAGCTTGGGCATTTGTATTCTTTCAATTATATTTTGTTGGTTAGTTTTGGTCTTGTTTTTACCATATTTACTTATTTATTTTCTATTTTCTAAATGCAGGGGACTTTAGCTCTGTATGCTGCAAAACAGACTTCTGGGATAGCTGTTAATATAGGTTTCCAAGTCACATCTGTAGTTCCAAGTATGCTCTAGAATGTTATTCTCATATCTTTCATAATTTAAGTGCAACAAATAAATTTCTTGCATGAAATACCTTGACAATCTCTGTCTTTGTTGAGTTCTGAGGTTCTCAATGCTTGAAAATTGCCAAGTGTGATCCATATATTGTTCCTTTGTCTAAAGAAAATGAGTCTACTGTCATTTTTTTCTATTGTTCCCCCAGTGTGAGTGTATCTGCATTTTTGTGTCAGTTTTCAATGGTAAAGTGATGCGAAAGGTTGGAGTGGAGGTTGTGGGGCTGGGAGCACTAAAACTAACAGGATTTCTTAGAGAGCAAATGCAACTAAACAACATAAGTTTTGAATCTTTGTACACTGTTCGCACACTGAAAGAGGTACTCTTATTCTCCTTTCCTGTTCTGGAATAGTCATGTTGACTTATGAGGTTTTACTTATATTTATTTATTGCTTCAGTGCTTTGACAGTGAACCCCTACATTGCTTATTAATTATAGTCAAGCTGAACATCTCTTAATCTTATTAGAGTTACAATATTTACTTTTTTCTAAGCTCTCTTAAGTTGACTTTGATTTCATATTTTCACATCTTTGACAATCCTAATTCATCAGAAAATAGAGAAATTTCTGATATCTTCTCTCTCTCCCTCTCACTCTCTTTTCCTCTCTTTTGCTCTCTTTGTTCAATGAGCAAACCTAGGGTTTGCTCCATTAAACAGTTAGCCCTTTTTTTACTCAAGTTATGTTGTAATTCATTTCATTGACGGTAATTCCATCTTGTTGATAGCCCTTTCTATGCACTATCAGATCCATTATAGGTTTCTAAATAGATAGTCATCTCCACTCGGAATATAACTAGGTGCACCTAGACTGTGTTATTTTTGCTACAATTAGAGGATTCTATTATAGGTTTCCCAAATCTATCTATCTATATATAAAACCATTCTCAATCATAAATCTAATTTATCTTCATTAATAAAGTCTCAAGCCATTAAATAAAAATTACTGCTCCTTTCAAATTTCACAATAAACACATGTTTGAACAAAATTCGTATCTCAATAATTTTTAAATTGATTATAAGTGAAGAATTGTTTTTGCAAGAAAATGATATTAGGCCAATAATTACAACAACAAAAAAGAAGTCTTATCCCCCTAATAACATAAATAATTATAAAAATATGTTACTATCATCATTATTCACTCACTAAAACAGATAATCATTGAATCACTGCCAGAACTACTCTGGAAATGCAATAGGTAATAGACAATGAATCTGAATATCATTATATATTCAACTAGGCTTCAAAATATTATTTGGAGAGGAAATGTCTAGAACTATGCTAATGGCTAATTTTTGCAATTTTTTGAGTAGTGGGCACACCATGGAAACTCAAATAGTAATTTAATTTAGGCAATGGGTAGCACCTGTTGCTCTGCAAGGCTAGTTCTCTAATTCTAGGAAATTATCCCAAAGCCATGGAGGTGGAAAAATAAATGAGTTAGACTCGAGCTTTCTCCAGAATCTTGAAATTATGCTTGGATGTAAGGCAATAGAAGCAACAATTGAAATCAAATGGAGGGGGAGAATAAGATAAGGCAGTGTTGGCCATTTTACTTTGAGGAACTAAATGCCATTAAGCATCCTTCTAAAGGCACAAAACCCAAACATCCACTCCCTCTTTAGTATGTTTCTAAGGAATTATATAAGTGGAAGGAAGACACAGAATTTAGACATTGAAGCCAATTCATTTGGTTTCTCTGTGAAGTCTTTTGATGATTATGGAAAAATGTTAGAGGTTTCAATCACTTTAACATAAAGAATATGGCTGTTTTTGGTTCTTGTCAGCCTTATGTGGATTGATAGTCACCCTCATGAAAGCTCTTTCTTTTGTACATGTGAGGGAGATGAAAGGAAAAATTTGTTAACTAACAAGAAATGCTATTCTCTGATATGTAATTCTTATTTTAATTCATAGTGAACATATGCATATTATACTTACGGAATTAACTCCGTAAAACTAGGGGCCTTATAATCAATTAAATTACAAAATATCTTTAGGAATCAAAAGCGAAAAGATTAGAACAAAAAAAGAAACTTCCTGAACTAACTCTTACTAGTTAGGGTAGGATGTGATATATGTGTAAGCTGACAACACTCAACTACTATGATATTGATGTTGGTCATTCCCAACTTATCTGCCTTCAGCCCTATACTTCTAAACATGGTTAGGCAGTCTTTCTGTTGGGATATCTACTACTTATCTTGTGGAAGGAGAGGTTAAATAAGTGGATTATGAGTATGCTTGGGGCAGTGTTGTTAAAAGACTGTTATGGCAGCACTATGGCAGAATGGTGGCGGTTTTGAGGGACGCCGTTACAGCTTACAGGTATGGTGTGGCTAATTTTCATGGCGAAAACGGCAGAAATATGGTTTTTTTGGTAGAAAAATGGGTTTTTTTTGCAAGTTTGGGCCAGCAACCCGACCCGGTCCAGACAACTCAACCCTAAATTTAAGGTTTTTTCCTCTCTTCTCCCCGCGATCTCACTCTCTCTTCTCTCTGCTGATCTCTCTCTCTCTCCACTGAGATCTCTTTCTCTTCTATTCTGCTGGGCTGCTTGGGTTTCTGTTTTGGGGAAAGGAAGAAACCCTTTTCTGTTTTTTTTTTAAAACCCACAATTATTATTTTTAAGGGTAGAAAGGTCATATACCCTTAATAAAACATATATTTCATCTTCCTCCACACTCTTTCTCTCTGCACGAAAGTTGAAACCTCAACGTAACACTTTCTCCCATCATCACTGACTCACCCACTCCGTTTTGCTGTTCAAATCAGTTTTTTCCGGCGTCTCCTTTGCTTTTTTGTTCACCGGAGAAATCAGCTTTCTGGCATCTATTTTGCTTTTCTGTATGAGCTCTATTTTACTATTCACTGATCATTCTTGCTTTCTGTTTTGCTATTAATCCTCTGTTTTGCTGTTCAAGCTTTGTTTAGCATTTTTTGTTTAATATAACATCCATGCTTAGTGTTTTTCTCTTTTACACTGTTACTTGGAATGATGATGATGTAATCTTGAGAATTTCTTGAGCATTTATATTAAATTTCTGTGACCTATAATATTTTTTATATATTTTATTATATCCGCCATAAATCTGCTATAACCTGCCATGGCAACCGCCATAACTTTATAGCAGTTTTTTTTATTTCTGCCAAGAGCTGTCATCTGTCATTGATAATATTGGCTTGAGGCCATAAAGTTGAAAACTCTTAGATTCTAAAGTCTCCTTCCATCATTCAATATTTAGCATTAACCTCTTTTTTCAAATCCTCAACAAAAACTATGTCATCTGCAAAAAGCATGCACTTAGAGATAATCTTTTGTATGTCACTTGGAATACTACTAAAACTAGATTAAACAAGTAAAAACTCAGAGAGCTTTGTGTGCATTCTCCTTCTTCATGTTGTGTGCTATATTGCTGTGTCTCTTTCTTGTTGCTGTGTAATCTAATTTTTGCTTTATGGCAACGAGTGGAAACAACAGGACTGTTGACAGTGTTACTAATGCTGGTTTAAGTGCTACTGGTGGTAGTGTTTAGAGTTGCTTTTTATTTTGGTAAAAAATTATGTAACTTTATAATTGAGTTGTGATTAAAGGGACCTTATGAATCTTGAGTTGAAGCTAAATAAACTATTTGGAGTGATTTAAGGGTTGACTCTTAGAGTCGTGTTACGATCCATCAATCCTACAATTCACAACCCCCCTTTCGCTCCAACCTTGAAACTTGATTTTGACAAACTTGGCAAGGCCATTGAGAAAGTAAGAATAAATTGTTTTTCCTCATTTAACTCTCCAAAACCAAAATCACCATGAACCCTTGGAAATTGTCTTGCTTCGCAACCAACATGATTGTTAAACAATTTAATTAAATAAATATTTAAAATTGGCATTTTTATTCTTTAAAAATATAATAAAAAATAACTTGTGGTCAAACAACCAATGGATTGGCTAGTGAAAATAGGTCAACAATTCATTAGCTTGAATCAAAATGTGACCTGGCCCATTTGGGCCGGCCTGATCCAAATGAACTTCTTTATGAGAAGGATTCAACAAAGGGAGCTCCCAAGCAATGTTGTCAAAATCGAGATCCTAGATAGGATTGGAAGAGGGTAAATCGTGTGATTGTAACAAAGATTGTAAGATCCTATCAAACATACAAAATTGTACTTAAACATACACATAAACAGAAAATAACATAGATAAAGAAAATAACCTTTAAATCACATAATTCAATGAAACATAAACTGTTCATAAACTTAAAATCTAATACAACATATAATTAGACAAATAAGAAATAACAAAAGAGCTCAGGCAAAAAATATTGCTGAATGCAGAGCCACAATGGCCAACAACAAGCAAGAACCACAAACAAAAGCACAAAACCAATATCAAAGAGAAGAGAGACCAAAAACCCAGGCAGCTGCACCTAGGTCACAGAAAATAGAAGATCAATACAAAGAGGATGAAGCTTGTTCTGAAGGGCAAAGTAGAGCTCACAGAAAACAAACATGGAGATAGCACAAACAGAGGTGGCAGAAATCGAGACCAAACTCGTGTGAACTGCAGTAGTGCAAAGGTAAAGATTGTTTCAAAATAGAGAAAAGATTAGAGAAAGCCCAACCCAAATACCTGCCCAGCAAATATATGATCAGATTGTCAATCTTGCCGACCTCAGATTCTGTTTCTGATTAAGATATCAGTGGGGGAGAAAGATCCCGGGACTCACAGGATCTTAGGATTAAGATTGGGATTTTGACAACATTGCTCCCAAGAGTTTTATTCTTTCCACACTTCGGAAGTTGATGGTGCTTTTTGAACAAATGCTTATTCTCTTATATAATTTTCTCTTTATCTGTTTTTCTATTCTCCTTTTTCTCTTTTTCAATGAAAGAAATGGTGAGAGTGATTGGTACCCTAGTTGCATTTTGTATTTCCTTTAAAATCATTTGCATTAAGTTGTCTGATATTTTGTTGGATGCATGGCAATAGAAGCTATGTTATGTTGCTGTAGACTATGAAGCTGAGCTATTGAAAGATACACAAGCATCATTTGAAGCTGTGGAAGGGTTGTTTACACTCTCAAAAGAGAGATTTCTAACAGGAGAGATTTTATTCCAGCCACGTCTTGCTGGGGTGTAAGTTTTTATACTTTTTGCCATATGGTACATCAGATTCTGTACACAACTATGCATATTTGCTTCAGAGATTATGTTTATGTCTACCATGATTCTGGTGTGATTCATAAATTAGCATGTCATATTATTACCATGATTGAAGGCTGATTAAAAAAAGTGCATGTCAATCATATGAAAATGAAATTAAAATTCCAATTTTCTCTTGATCTTTTGTTCTTCTAATACACTTCGTTACTTTTCATTTTCATTTGTATTTATGAGCTGTAAATTAGTTAATCATAATAAGAAACCAATTATTTTTAAATATACTTTTAAAAAACGAAAAATAGTAATAGAGGTTTAAGCCACTAATTTAATCCTTCATCTTACTCAAAGAAGAGTGAGAACATTTTTCTGGACAGACTAGTATTATTTAGTGTTATAAAATTTTCTTTGGTTTATACTTTTGTATCTTGACTTTATAGTATTATAAAGAACCTTAGATAAAGTTATTAAAAGAGATCTTTAGATTAATAATATTTCTAAAAATTTAGTTTTTGACCGATCTCAATAGCATCGTGTGATACATGTAGCCAACCTCACTCGGGGGATTTGGTTTGGTTGTTTTTGTTGTATACTTTTGTAACTTGGCTTGATAGGTGACTGGCACCTATTTTCATTTCAAATTTTTTTCCCAACTTCAGACCTTTTTCAATAATTAATTGTGTGCATTAGATATTGTTAGATTTAGATGATGGTTTGATGAACTATTGACTAGGAACATTTATATCTTCTTATCCTAACTGTGCTTCTCTTTTCCAAGTTTTGTGCATAAAAAAAAAAAAGTTGTGTATTTGAAAAAGGAAAAACGAATAAGTCCACCTATAAAATTGAAATGAAACATATGAGATTAAAAAGGAGTGGGAGTAAAACTATATACAACATGTGTTGGGGGTTGGTAAATGATTATCTACGGTGACCCCCCCCCCCCCCAGTTCTTATTTGCTTAAATTTTCTCTGAATTGTAACTTACACATATTTTGTACTTCATCGTATAGGCGAGCAATGGGTTTGCACCAGGCCATCGCTCTTTGTATGGATCATTGCTATTCTGCTGAATTAGCTGCTGACAATGATTGGTACAAGACTGTAGTCTTATCGGGGGGGACTGCTTGTTTACCTGGTTTAGCAGGTAAATATTTCTTCTTTTTTTGGCACTTTAATGTCTTTGGAACAGAGCAGAAAGATGGAACAACAATACAGAAAATACCTACCTGGTCATGGGCTATAATTAAGATTTCTAATTCTACCTTGGGTCATTCTGTTTCAGAAAGGTTAGAAAAAGAACTTCATTCGTTACTTCCTCCTTGTGTATCCAGTGGAATTAGAGTCATACCTCCTCCATTCGGTGTGGATACTGCATGGTTTGGTGGCAAGATTATTGGCAGTGTGAGTTATCCACTAACTGATAATAATTCAAAATTTGCTTGTGGCATAGGATGTCACTTTGTGTTAATTAAGTCCTAACACATTGAACCTTCTATAAAACTGAATTAACTTGACAGATTTCTTGATTTTCTTATAATGTCCCAGATTTATTATTGGTTACATAGAAGGCTGACTGTTTTCTGTTATGTACAGTTGAGCACCTTTCCTGGTCCCTGGTGTACCACGAAAAAGCAATTCCGTCAGAAGTCTAAACTTGACCGCATATGGTGATTACTTTAATATAAATTTTCTTTTCTCAATGATGTAAATTATTATATAACAGCTACTCTGTTCCATAATTTCCATCAGGGGGCAGCGTTTGTATACTAGTATTTTAGTAAATATCCAATATTTGTATACACAGCTACGATAATATTCTACCTTTGTACGCATCAAGTTTGTTTTGAATAAAAATGCTATACAGCTTTCAGTATGTCTTATTGTACCATGTGAAGAAATTGTTAATACAATTCAATTCACATGACGAGGGATTTTATTTATCAGAAATAATACTGATTTTGGAATGCATTCTATGGTCTTTTATTGCTGAGGTCTATGGACAGGTACATACCATTGTATTTTCAGAGACGGAGACCTTTCAATTTTATTTTGCCTTCATATTTTTTTGAGACAGTCAGAAGCAACTAAGTTGACCTACTGGAGAATTTTCACTTCGAATTTAATCATTAAAAATTTTCCTAAAATTAAGGATAAAGGTTGTCTTTTTTCTGTTTTTACTGAATTGATTTACACCCTGTTTTGACTAAGTCATTAATGCAACAATCCTTATTGCAGTCCATGATTTTAGAAAAGTTGTAGATTCCAATGGCAGAGGCACGTCAGATAACCAAGGCTTCGCTGTTACTATCAACATTTGCTTTGCATCAGCTACGGACTTCAAAGATCATATACACATCCATCACAATATTACATCCCCTAACACTACATTGCGTATACACCTCTCACAAGCATGTCGCCAAACACCTTACTAGCACCAATAGTGTCCTCCACAAAGGTAATGACATTGAAATGTTTCACAAAAAGGTTTGCAGCTGAATTGATGGAGGGCGTATTGGTTTCAATGGTTATTGATAGCACCCACAGCCCAGAGGAAGATATGGATCACAGGCTCAAGAGAAACATTAAATGTCCTCAAGGCCGGAACGATTTTATTTATTGAAATGCTGGTTGTTGTTAGTCACGTTTCTGTTTCATGGTTGTTAAGAGAATGCTGAGTTGTCATTTATTTAGTTGCTTTGTTATTCTGTTTGTTATCCAGTATCTGATTTTTCCATTTTGTTTGCTCATGTAAGCCTTTATATAGTGATGAAAGTAATGATTGATGGCAGTTAGCCAATTTCAAAAAAATTCTAACTTCTCTCTTTATTTCGGGAAATATTTTCTTGACCTTGAACTCAGGAAACTATTATTCCTATTTCATTCCTCTATCATCTTTGGTGCTTTCATTGCCTCTTTCTCATGGTTGATAACACTCGTTCCCAAACCCTAAACCGGCTTGAGGAGGTTGTTACCCTCCTTACTTAATCACAGACCACCTTCTCCATTACCCAGAGCTCTTTCCATTCCAAAGTTGACAACATTATCACCTGCCTCACTTCTTTTGAGCTTTCCCACCGTCCAATGATGTCCGCCATCGATCTCCGCAGACCCCCTCCCATCACCTGAAATTGGACATTCCACTTTTCGATGGTACTCATGCCACAGGCTAGATTTTTAAGATCTCCCAACTTTTTTATTATCATGGTACCTCGGAGGATGAACGCGTTCAGGTGGCGTCCTTCTACCTCGATGGTCCAACACTTAGTTGGTATCAATGGATGTACTGCAACGACCACATTTCTTCTTGGTCCAGTTTCCTTCAATCGTTGGAATTGCAATTTTCCCCTTCTTACTACAACGACCCTAAGGGTGCTCTATTTAAATCGAGGCAGCGTGGTACCGTCAACGACTATCTCTCCAAGTTTGAAAGTCTCGCCAATTGCATTGTTGACCCTCCCCCACCCTTCCTCCTTAGCTGCTTTATTTCGGGCTTATCCCCTGATATACGACGGGAAGTTTAGGCTCTTAAACCTCTAAGTCTTGTTCAGGCCACTGCGCTTGCCCGGTTGCAAGAGGATAAACTCATTGATGAAAAATGTCTTTCTTGCCCTCGATACAACTCAGCACCACTCGCGGTCCCTCCTCTCTCCGCCATTCCCCCATCACAACAACTTCCACTCCTACCTGCTCCACCGAAAACCACTTTTTGGAGGCTCACCCAGGCCAAGATGACGCTCTGCCACAAGAAGGGACTTTACTACAATTGTGATGAACGTTTTGGCTCGAACCACAAATGTAAGTACAAATTCTTCCTCTTGACTGCTCATGACAATGATGATATGGACTTCGCGATCCCTCTTCCATTACCACAAGATACTTTGTTGCCCGATATCATTGATTCTAATGGCTTTTTTTCTGCCCAAATTAGCTTTAATGCCTTCTCAGGTCATCTTGCCCCTGAGACCCTACGCATTATGGGCTTTGTTAATGGCCAGGAAGTGGTTGTCCTCATTGATGGGGGCAATACTCACAATTTCGTTCAGGATAAGATGGACTATTTTCTTAATCTCAAGGCCCAACCCACTAAACAATTGAGTGTCATGGTGGGAAATGGTAGTGAACTTTTGTGCAATCAGGAGTGCAAGGATGTTCCCGTTACTATTCAGGGTCACATTTTTAAGGTGGACCTCTACGTTATGGCCCTTGGTGTTAGGCCTGTAATTTATTATTGAGTAATCTGTAATGTTGTGTATTTGTTAAATGTTAATTGAAGGATTATTTAGTATTGTAATAGATTTAGATGGGATTTGAAATTATTTAAAAAAATAAAAAAATAAGTGAATAGTAAAGTCAGTGCGAATAGTAAGTCGATGTGAACAGTAAAGTCGGTGCGAATAGTAAGTTGACGTGAACAGTACCATTTTTTTTTTCTGAAATTTTGCCAATAAATAGGATGCCTTGCACAAAATTTTCATTCTTTTATACTTTTCAAAGGTTCTAGAAAGACCAAAGGCTATATACCATTATTTTTTCTCATACTAAACTCTCCTAAATTTAGATTTCTCACCAGATTTGAGATTCTACATCTATTCTGAAGGATCTAAAGTATGTTTCTATAAGTTTGAAGTTAAATTTACCATTCGTTTCTCTTCTTCTTCTCTTTCTTATAGATAGTTGATGATATCTTAGGAGAAACTTCGTTGTAGAGCTAAATCTTTGTTGGATCTTGCATTAAAACAAATAATATTCGATAGATCTGGTATGAATCGCTGTTCTAAGGTAAGGGAAGCTTACTTTAACTATTAAAATGATGTTTAGAACGATTTGGTATACTATTACAAGAAGTTTTGAGATGATTTTGTCAGATCTCTTGGATGAAAGCAATTTTCTTTACTGTTGTAACACCTTAATTTAATTTCAATAAATAGAGAATTTCGCAAATTTTTAAAATGATAAAATTTTCATTTTCAATCCAAGTTCATTAAGCATTTCAAATAAAGAAAGGGTTTACAAATTATATCGAATAGTTTTTACAGGACTTATTCCAAATATAACAGTTTTTAAAATAATATTCTAAGTCATATAGCAGTTCCATCCACCCCTTCACTGAGCCCGATGCTGATCGTCTTGATTACCTGAAAAATGAATGTAAGGGTGAGTACTCTACACTACCAAAACATACAATTAAGCAGAGTCTTACCTCCAGCACATTTCCAATATATTAAAAAAATACAGGCATAGGTAACACTATCACATCCACAAGCATAAATCATGAACCCATGCATACGTACGCTAGCCACACTCACATTGACACTGTGATCACAGATTTACACCATGAATGGTCGTCGGTTACCCTCGCCTCACGGATACCACGTGGGCAGTCACGGGTCGCTCAACAAAGGTAATGGTCAGAGGTCTAGTCAGGAAGAGAGTATGTGGCCTGTGGTGCACCCGTTCCACAGTCGGTGTCACCACCACTCCCTCTTCCCCAAGGTATTTCTACCGTCTTCATCTCCCACACCCCCAGTGTATTGCTGAACCATTCACAGCACATTACAACGGCGTTGCACGCCCCAGTCACACACATTTCAATATACGGCACATAGCCCACATTAACAGTTACGGCACTAGGCCCACATTTCATTGTCATAGCACACACAGCACATAGCTCACAATTCATTCAAGACACACGACCCCTAGCCTATTTCCATTCATATTACACGGCCCTCGAGTCCACCTTTTCATACAATGTTCATTCAATTATACGGCACGAGTGCCCATACCCATTCACAACATCCAGTACATAATTCACATCATTTTCTTGCATCCACTGGCAACCAACATAAGCACATCACTCAATTTCACACAATATGTCGGAGGTCGGACACCTCCGGACTCAATCCAATTCGTACGATTCATCAATACACGTAACCTCATCTCCTATTTCTATCACATTATTATATTCGTTCAAATAAACCCATTTCTAACAAAGATAACTAAAGTAAAGTACTCCCTTTACCTAAAAAATGAAGACCCGACATGAAACGTTGATGGAATCGCTTCCCAACACGGATTTCGTCCCTAAAGCATGGAAATTCCAAGGGAATTCAAGGAAAACCTCAGAAAATGAAAGTAAGGGACGAAAACCAAAATCCTAGCCATAGAACTTACCTCTAAGAGCTGCAAACACTTCCCCAATCCTTAATCTAGCTTCCAATCGGTCTTTGAGGGCGTTTAACCGGTAAGAATAGGTTTGGGTAGAGAGAATCGTGAAGGAGAGAGAGGAAAATCGTGAAAATAACCCTCTTCTCAAACCCTAACCCTTCAAATACCCCTCTGGTTGCGACACTCTCGCTACAGCGAAATATTCTCGCTGCAGCGACACGCCCCCTCGCTACAGCGAGATATTCTCGCTGCATCGACACGCCTCCTCGCTACAGCCAAAAAATAAGAGAAAACTGCACTCTGGTTTCTGCAGAATCTCGCTACAGCGAGATTACACTCAGAAATGCACCCCAGACTGTCGCTTTCTCGCTACGGCGAGAAGGCGACAGTTCTGGTCATTCCTCCTAGGGCCCTCTCGCTACAATAAGACTCCTCTCGCTGCAGTGAGAACTACCCAGTGTATCGCCCTGCACTCAGCCAAACCAGTCAAATTCAAACATACATCTACCCATATATATATATATATATATATATATATATATATATATATATATATATATTCACAGCACATCTCTAAAATGCACACATGAAAATACCTTTATTTTTATATAATTATCAAAATTAATATCACAAAATTCGAGGCGTTACAACTATAACTGTTGTTAATTGATTTAAAATGCTGAGATTTGGCTGAAATATTATGAATTGTTTTAGCTGAGCTGAACTGTTGAGAATATGATTTTGTCTATACTGCATCATACTGAGATGTATGACTTGTTTCATTATAGAGCTGAGTTACACGTTTAGGTAGGTAAATGTGTAACGATAGAGCATGTTGAGTTGTGATGTGTTGTGTTATCTGGATCCAAATACCAGAATGAGTCGCTCCCAGACTTGCTTGATTCCTTCTAGAATACTTAGACTATGAAACTAATTGGAAACCATTTTCATGTTGTGTATTAGATGGGCTGAGAATGCATGGGGTTGTTGTTATGAGTAATATTTTGCTCTATATGTATGATATTTCTTTTGTAAGCTTATCCTTGCATTCTATCTATGCTGTTGTGTGCGCGTATACTGCGATGATCGTACGGTGATACGTGAGCAGATATAGCAGGTGTTACATCTACTTCACAAGCTGAGGGGCTAGTGGAGAATGTTAGAAGGTTGGAGTCGTGTAATTTTGCATTAAAGTACTTTTCCTTATATTTTAAGATCTCATATAGAAAGAGTTATATAGTATAATTTTTTATGTATTTTAAATATTATGAACTAAATATAATATTATGTTGTTATATTGAATATTTGTTGTAATAAACGTTGTTTACTTTGAATCAAAAGTGAATTTTATACTTATATTCTTTATCCATTTTAAATAAGTAAGTGGTGTAGAAATAATGTTCTCGGTTCCTTATAAAAAAGGGTCATGACACTTGGTGGTGCGGATCTTGTTTTTAGTGTGGAATGGTTAAAATCTTGTCCCAATCATGACAAACTATTCTCTCCATACTATGAAATTTCATTGGGGTAATCAGTTAGTGGAGGTTCAAGGCTGAACTGGGTCAGGCCCAACAGAAATTACACACAACCAAGTTAAACGCTTCATTCACACTAATTGTGCCTCCGCTTACTTTC